CTTCAGCTTCGGCCATCAGCCATCGGCTATCGGCCTTCGGCATCGGCCATCAGCCTTCGGCCTTTTCTCAAAGCCATGCCGAACGGCACCTTCCAGGAGACACTTCTCCAGTGCCTTTTCTCAAAGCCATGCCGAACGGCACCTTCCAGGAGACACTTCTTCAGCGCCTTTTCTCAAAGCCATGCCGAACGGCACCTTCCAGGAGACACTTCTTCAGCGCATTTTCTCACAGCCATGCCGAACGGCACCTTCCAGGAGACGTGTAGTAGTTTGGAGAAATTGTTTTTATCATGAAAAGTTCTGGGTACGAGTCTTGTCATCTATATAGTATGTGTGAATTTAATATATTATCGCTTCTCTCAATATAAAAGATCCTTACAAAAAATTAAAATAAATAAACATCAAGTGTTTAGATTTGGAACTTTGCCATGGCCAATGAGCTTGGGATGCAAAATGGGTTTTTGACGACCAAGATTGTACTTGCTAAATGCCAATTGTGAAGACTTTTGATCAACAAAATCGTCCGACAAATTATTGTATAGTATTGAAATATGGTCACATGATATAATCTTTCAACGTGTTATAATTTGAGTGCACGATACGACTAAGATTTTCCATTTTTAAAGTACTAGTATTAATATCGGTGCAATATTGTCACTAAAACCAATTCTTAAATCTATGACGAAACTTGCCTTTCACGAAACATTAGTTGTGCTCTACTGTCTTGGGTGAAGTTGCACATTGTTTGTACAATATCTGGCCAAGCACTCCCCAAACACTCCCAAGCCAAAGGGAAGGGAGTCCCACATCGACAAAACACAAGAGGAGGGGACTCTCCCTTCTTTATAAAAGGAGACCTTTCCCCTTTAGAAAGAAAGGGGGGTTGGGCAGGCTACTTGGGCCTCATGGGCTTACCCATGAGCCCATTTACAAGCCCACGGAACATTGGCCTTCAGCCAGATCTTCAGCCTCCGACCTTCAGTCTTCGGCCTTCGGCCTTCGGTATTCTTCCTCTTCTCCTTGAGTTTAAACCTATGTGCAATTTATACTCACATTATCGTAATGAGAACATACTTCTCCGTGGACGTAGCCCATTATTCGGGTGAACCACGTACATTTGTCTTCTGTATGCATGCTTATTTACTTACCGAATGTTCTCACACACTGAGGGTTCTTACCTTCAGCATCCACCTCATCTTTAAGTTGGCCTATTTACTATCCATCTAGTTTTAGCGCAAACAAAACTAATGAAGTTTTTTAAAAATAATTTAAAATTCATAAAATTTACAAATGAAAAAACCATTTATGGAAGGATTTTAACTTTGAGGACTATTTATGAAACCTAAACCCTTGGTTTTTTCATTTTTAAATTTTATGAATTTTAAATTATTTTAAAAAAAACTCCATTGGTTTGTTGATGTGGCATATATGTGGAGCTCACATCTACAATAATATAGTGACACGTGTATTTAAAATACAATATATATTTTTAAATAAAAAAAATAAAAAAATTCGCAGAGACTATTTGTGATAGGTGTATGAACCTCATGGATGTTTTGTTTTATATATGTATATGTCATGTCAGCAAACTAACAGAGTTTTGGACGGAACCTAACGACAATGACCATTTGTGATCACACATACTAACCTTGAGGATCACAGAGAGAGAGAGAGAGAGAGAGAGAGAGAGAGAGAGAGAGAGAGAGAGAGAGAGAGAGAGAGAGAGAGAGAGAGAGAGAGAGAGAGAGAGAGAGAGAGAGAGAGAGAGAGAGAGAGAGAGAGAGAGAGAGAGAGAGAGAGAGAGAGAGAGAGAGAGAGAGAGAGAGAGAGAGAGAGAGAGAGAGAAGTTAATATACAAAATAAAACTATTTTCTAAGGCGAGGCGTCACCTTTAATTTTGGTGCTGCCTTAGCCATGGCAGCATGGACCATGCTAAACGAGTCTTGCATAGACAGTTTGCAATTGGTTTTTTGCATGTTCAGTTTTTTGAATTATGCGTCCACTGGATCATTAGGAAGTTTCCCTCAAAACGTGTATACAAGAGAAAGTAACAGATGAAAGAAAGAAAGATAGGAAGAAGAAATGTCAAGACCCTCTTTGGTACAACTACTTGAAAGCTCTCATCATGAGCATGACATCCTTCTTCGATAATGGCCTCCAATTTCGGATAATTATTTGAACATCCTTGGACCTGGTGGTGTTGGTAGTGGTGGGATATAAGAAGGGATTGTGCAACTTCACCCCAGGTCTGCATGTATCTCAATCTCACCTCCTTTGCCATCATCTGATTTCTGATCTCTCGTCTCGTCTCGTCTCATCTCATCTCGTCTCAGCTAATCAAAGGGTTCGATTCGATGGATCAATTTTCTCAATGAAAGCTACCCAGCTTTTGGGGTTGGGGTTAGGCTAGCTATAGCGATCCGAGAAATACTAGCAACCTTCTCTCTAACCTTCTCCTTTGGACCTTCTCCCCTCTTTGCTTGACATGTGTCATTCTCTCTACACTTAAAACAATGCCATGAATATATTATACAAGCTAACTTTTGCTTTCCAAGTTTACCCTTATACATGTATTAAATTTATCCAAAAAAAATTCTCAACTTTCTTACCATCTTATTATTTTTTTTTATAAAGAAAATATCTGTTTTTTTATAAATAAAAAAAAGCGGAAATATCCCCTATTTTTTTAACGTCAAGTTTAGACTTTTAAAAAAAAAATCTAAACCCTTTGTGTTTTATAAAAAAAAATAAAAAAAAGGAACATTTCCTCTTTTAAGAAAAAAAGCACATATTTTCTTAAAAAAACTAATTTACGTTAAAAAAAGATTAATAAGATGGTAAGAAAGTTGTGAATTTTTTTTGGATAAATTGAATACATGTAATAAGAGTAAACTTGGAAAGCAAAAGTTAGCTTGTATAATATATTAATGGCATTGTTTTAAGTGTAGAGAGAATGACACATGTCAAGCAAAGAGGGGAGAAAGTGAGAAATGCTAGCAACCTTCTCTCTAACCAAACTCATATTTATCATTGCAATGCAAAGTAATACTTGTTCAGTAAAACAAAATAAAATTATAATGCTAATGTGAATATATACAGTATACATTAGGTTTAGGATGCTACAACTATCCGAGGTTATAGCGCTTTTTCCCTTCCGATTCAATCTCCTTTACCTTGTCGACAACATACTGAACTTTCTTTGACAGGTCTTGCGTATGTTCCTCAATGTGATCAAATAGAATATCAACTATTTCTCTAAGTGAAGCAGACCGCTTTCTCTCAAGGAACAGCGCCCGAGTTAATTCTTCAATCTTTGTCTTATCATCCTACAAAAGCATTCCACATCTATTAGATAATGTAACAGTTACCCATTGACACTGAGGTCAATCAAATGAACTCTTTGGAATAAATACCAAAGAGACAATGAAACACCAGGAAGAAGTTTGCTTGAAAAGAATACCCGAGTTAAACTTACTAAGATCTTCGCAACTTTCCCCTCAATGGATCAAATTAAATTGCAGAACCAGAACTTTGACAGATCTAGAAACAACGATTATTTTGTTTCTGAGTTTTTTAAATAATAAAAAAGGAAATGCTTTCCTGTCCCACCAGCCAATTCAATTTAACATATTTGACCACTCCAATATCAATTCCACATATACAAAGAGTGTGCAAGCTTTCCAGTTGTCCAATTTGGTTTATAATCTGAGTCAACATGGCAAAATTTCATGAGGCAAGACAAAAAATTTCTTCGAACAAATTAAGTCAATAACTATCAACTGAAAAAGAGGACAATAACTGACCGGTACTTGATCAGCAATCAATCCCTTTTGACCTTTGTTGGCAGTGGCAGTCAATGCATGAGTGTGCCCCTTCATGAACCTTGTAACAACCCATTTCCCAATACTAATTTTCTTTATCGATACCATGGCCTTACAACCTACCCTAGTGGGAGCCCGAGGCTTTATGGTAGTCTTATCGCGCCTATCAGGCTTCCGGTAACCCTCCTTGTTGCATACAAAAGTCCGGCCAATAATGGTTCCATCATGTTTGGATCGAGACAGGTAGTTCATACGAGTCATGAAACCCACACGCATGCCATAGGCATTATAAAATGCTTGTGCAGTTTCTTCTGTATCAAATTCCTGACCCACATACGGCTCATCTGCTTCGACCGCTACACTTGATCCATCTGTACAGGGATTTTGAGTCACTTCATCATCTTGTCCTTGTCCAAGATGAGACATCTCTTCAACTTCAACAAAGCTTCCTACCAATGCACCATCATTAGAATGCTTAAGCTCGGCATCACTTGAATCATTTAACACCCCATCATTAATATTTATATCAAGTTCAGAATCCACTGCGACATAACATTCATGGAATCAATCATGAGGATCCTAGTGCAATGCAAATTGTTCTTTTTTCTATAATCAGTAATATCAGTGGAATTCATAACCAAGAAAAAACAAGTCACTATCATATCATATCATATTTAAGCAGATTTATATAAAGCATATGAAACGAACAGCGTAAATACACAATGTAAAAAGAAAAAAGAGTCCTTATTCAATAATTCAAAGACAAAAAGAAATAAGAAGATTACAAGAATAAGTTTAACGGTAAAACCACGGTCACACCCAGAAACTAAAAGGAAATTGGAAAACCCAATTGACAGACAATCAAGATCAAATATTTTCTTTTTTGTTTTTTTTCCAAGATAAGTAATTGAAATTGAGATAGGAATTCAAAAACCAGTGTAAAGTAACTGAATTTGAAACTTACTGAGTCATTTGATTTTTCTGAAGCCCGAAATGCCGGAGGGTCAGATCCGCGGGAACTCCATGTTTGTTTCAAAGCGAGAAGCTCAGTCCCAGCGAAAGGGAAGAGGCTTTCTGGGATTTCAGTCTTCGTAATAATAATGTAATCGATATTATGCACGGGTCGGGCTTTCTAGTTGAATTGGGTCGGGTGGTTTTGTTTATATTATGCAATTAATATAAATTGTTCTATTCTCTCGAACATGGCATTGGGAGCCAACTGCCCTGTGAATCACAATCACATCACTTATGGTTATTCTACTCATCCCCCTTATACAAGTACAAACCAATAATTATAGGCAACGAAACGATTAATCCTAAATTAACAGGTAAATGTAAATTCGATTCTATTGAATAATTGAACAAAAAAATTATTTTGATCAACAGCCATCCATCCCATAGAAAAGGAAAAGGGAAAGGAAATACACACTATCATATCAACTGATAGGTAGGTAACATGACTTGACAATAGATTGAGATGGCAAATGTGAAAATTCAATTTACAGATTTCACATTTACATTACAAAACGAAATGCAGACTAGGGGACATTTCGACGGTCTTTTCCCTTTCCCTCGGATGATACAATTTCTTGGAGATTATCAGTTATGCGCTGGATCTTCTGCGACAGGTTTTGAGTGTGCTCTTCAATGTGATTGAATAGGAGGTCTATGATTTTTCTATATGAAGCAGACCGCTTTCTCTCAACCAGCAGTTGTTGAGTTAATTCTTTGATTTTCATCTGTTCATCCTGCAAGCAAAAACTAAGCACAATAAGCCCTTAAGAAAGGAGGACATGATGAATGAATGACTATGTTGTGAAAGGCTAATTAAGGACAGATTGCATAATGGAACTCCAAAACACATCTTTCTTTGTTACTACTGAACAACAATGTTACTACTGAATAAAAGGGAGGCTAGAAAAACAGGCTAACACTTTCAACTGCAAATCTCACTTACACATAGCATATTTCCCAAAACCAATAAGTTTTGAGATTAATGATTTCATTTATTCCTTAAAAACTTTTAGCAAAGTACTAACCACCCTCAGAACATTAATAATTACACCCTCAATATGCATGTAGACGTGTGAAACACAAGACTTAACATAAGGCTAGACAGACACCATGGAGACATGAGAATTAGTGAATGTGCTTATTAGGACTTGAATATCAAGGAAAAAGGAAAACCAAAAAGGGTTCATCCATAGTTCCACAACATATGGATATAGGAACAATCAATTTTTAACTAAACAAGAATTGCTTTCCATGGGTCTCTCAAACTAATTTGAACTCCGATAAAGATACTGCAGAAGGCAGATAAGCTTATAGCATCCAAACTGAGAAACAATGCCAGTTAACATGCATTTCACATAGACAAGTATTTAAAACCCTAATCAATTCAAAAGAGCATTAACTAACACCGCACTGGAAAAAATAATGAAAACAATAAAGAGAAGTTACCGTAGTAGATTGATCATTTGATCCTTTTTTACCCTTCCCTGGAGACAGTGTATGGGTATGCTCCTTGACAAACTTTGCAACTACCCACTTTCCAATACTCAGTTTCTTAACTGAAATCATTGCCTTGCAACCAACCCTAGTGGGGGGTCGAGGTCTCACACTCATCCTCTCACGCTTATCAGCCACTCGGTAACCCTCTTTGTTACATACTAGCGTTCGAGCAATGATGGAGCCATCAACCCTAGAACGAGATAGATCGTTCACACGTGTTCTGAAACCTATTCTCAGTGCATATGCATTATAAAATGCATGTGCAGCTGCTTCTGAGTCGAATTCCTGGCCCAGATATGGTTCGTCTCCTTCAACTGCATTTTGTTCCACTCTTGAAGAATTTTGACCCACTTGCTCAATTTGCCCAAGACTAGAAGCCTCCTCAACAACACAAGTTGCTAGAATTGCACCATCATGATTTAATCTAAGCTCAACATCTGCTGAATTATCTAAGACCCCATTTTGAGCCTCTGTATCAAATACAGAATCCACTGCAAAAACATAAACTTTGAGTTTGAGCCATTGCCAATCAAAAATAAACAAAAGCAACATAATACAAGAAAAGCCCATGTCCATGACATAAATTCTCAGCTTGAATTAAGCAACAAAATGGTCGGATCAGATGGGCTACACATACACTAGACTAGGAGGGTCAAGAAATCAGCATATTCCATCTCAATGATTTGCATTCATCACAATCACATGCTCATTCATTCTCAAATGGATAAACATAAATGTGTGTGTCTGTATGTGTAAGGCACAGGCTACAGACCCAATACTAAAAAATTAAAAAGAAATAAAGAGGTAAAAAGAACAACACACAAACACACAAACAAAAACACCATGAATCAACCGAATATCAGATTCTAGTTTGTTGTAAATAAGGAATCTTTAAAAAGATAACTTACTGAGTGATCGATGGTAAAGCTGAACGAACCAGAAGAGGATAGTATTAGTTACAGGCTTACAGCCACCAAACCCAATTGAACGCAACCCACTGAGAGAAAGAGAAAGGAAGCTGTTTTCTGTTCTCTCTCTCTATCGTCTTATCAGAGAGGAGTCGTTCTAGAGATAGGTGAGCGATGAATCGGGTAATCCGGCCTGTTGTGTACATTTTTCTGTTTTTGGGCCGCTAGAGCTAAAGTGTGGACTCCCATTCTCAGCCAAGATTTTAAATAAAATAAGTAAATCCAAAGCTCAACACATCTTCAATTCCCTCTTCGGCCTGCCCAAAGCCCAACAATACCCAACCTTTTTAAACCCCACTCACTTACCTTTTTTTTTAATTTTTTGCTGAAAGAGATGCTTTATTAAAAATAGTGCTGAAACAATAAATACTACCAAAACTCAAGTTCCACTTGCTTACTGTTGAGGCCCAAAAAATTCAAGATTGGGCCCGAGCATATTTCTAGCCCAACACAATGTTTAACTAGGGAAGAAGCCCGACTAGGATATGCAAGAAATTGTTGAACGCGCTTGCACAAGCTATGAGGTACATGCCACGCCAAGCAAACACACAACCCGCCATGCGGAAGGGTCAAAATGAGCCCGGAAAGCATACTGACTCTGTGAACCCACGCTTATGACCCGTTAAGCGCTATCTGGCCCAGCCCTAGCCTATTACAACGCAGTAGAGCTCGAGCATAAGTATGCCAAATAAACACGCAATGTCAAACGAAATATAGTCATTTTGACACCAAGCCATGCTACAAGCTTAAGTGGGCCCAAGCCATGTGAATGCCTGGGGCTTGCTGAGAAGGTTGTGACATGGATGGTTACAAGTATTTACGAGGCCCATTGAAGGTTCAAAGGATATAAGTTTTGAGCTACTTGGGAGCACCAAAACTCAAGCCCATTTCTTAAGCCCAAACATGTGGGTAAGCAAGAGAGAGAAAGAAGGTGGCTCAATGCCTTAGGAGAATATTCTGCAACACTTAGGAAAGTCCCACATCAACCAAGACATCCAGCACCTCGTCAAAAAGCTAAAGCAAATAAGCTACTTCCCGCAGCTTGACTAAACCATGAAGACTTAGCTGATTGCTTGAAATAAGAGGCTAATAACCCAATGCCTTAGGAAAAAGCTCCGCCCAACGCCTTATAAAAATCTATCATCGTATCCAGCCATTATAACCAAGTCAAATAGAAGCCATTACAAGGACCAAAGGAAATTCATAGGGCAGGAGGAATACCCATTGGACTAACATCCCTACCCTTATTTCTTTCTTCTCCAAGCTCTAATAGGAAAACCAGAGGGAAAAGTGGGTGGCGCCTCACCCACATGAAGAGATCCAGTTGTGTGAGGTCCTTGGAACCCCAAAAAGCTTCGCATCTATGGGCTTAGGCTGGGGAAGTTTCACCAAAAAAGGTTAAATGGAAGAAAGTGAAGAAAAAAGGGAGGGAGGCTTAAAATTGAGGTTTTTAGCGCCTATAAAAGGAGGTTGTTTCTACTCAGCAAAGACACCATCATCCAGAGTGCAACCAAGCTTTTTCTCAAGCAACTGGAAATTTACTCAAGACACCCTATCTTCTGTTTCCATCTCTTCCTCTCTTCCTTTGGCAAAAATCCTCCTAGTTCTCTTCTTCCCCCACTCTGAACCTTTGTTTCTGTAAGAAATTCAAGCTTTTTTTTTTTTTTTTTTCTCTCAATTGCTAAACTCGTGAAAGCTTAGCTCCCATGCCACAAGTTTCTCAAGCCAAGCCATATCATTAAACTGTCATATTCATCTGGTTTACTGGTGAAAGGAATCCAATGTGTTTTCTAAGGTTCTCACAAGCTTTTCAAAACTCTCTTGGAGCTTGGTTCTTGAACTCAAATACAAGGGGGCAACCTTATGTCTTTTCTTTACTGCAGACCAAGTTCATTCGTCAGTCTGCTGGAATAAAAAGACCCCTACACTTACAATACCCAACCTTTTCAAACCACTCACTTACTCTCTTTTTTTTTCTTTTTTGCTGTTGAAAGATATGTTTTTTTTAAAGATAGCGCTGAAATAGTAAATACTATCAAAACTCAAGTCCTGCTCGCTAATTTACTAAGTAATAATAATAAGCTCGTATTTTCAAACTATAGATAATAATAATAATGATAATAAATATAAGAATGTGAGAACTGAGAGTCTCAGGTCACTCACAGGCATAATAATGTTGGCCACTATAAAATCTTGTACCCTATTTTACGTGACCTAGGCTATATATATATATATATATATATATATATATGAACATTATTCCTTTGAGGCTACATTGATTGACCACTTAAATTGCCACTCCCCTTAGCTACCTATACCTAGCAATAAATCACTCCGCTATTTTCTCCTGCTTGTTACCAGCTGCCTGTCTGTCTATCTCTCTCTCTCTGGGGCTGGTAAAAGATAGAGAGAAAGACAGAGAGAGGAGCTTCGTCCACTGTTACTCTGATATTGGCCCAGCCCATGTTCGATGCTGCTTTGAATATGAAAATCCAGTCAAGTAATGCATGTATGCATGTATGTCACCCATGCTGTGATGCTGATGGTAGCTAGCTACCTTCCTTGATCCCAATCAATCACCACCACATCAGACTCCGAGATTCAGAACGCAATCCATCAATCGAGCACACTTAGACTGTATGGTACTGACAGGCAGGTGCGGCATTTGACCATTTCATGTAATTTACACACAATGAACATAATTTACATGTGGATGTGGAGTACTAGTACGACCATCAGTGCATGAAAATGAAACCCATGTGTTGATATATTGGGAGATTAGATTGCCATGTGTATAATTACTCCATTTCATGTCATGTCTGTGCTGTGGTTATATATATTTTATTGTTTATCATTCACTTCACTCATCACGGCTCAGTCGGTCATCGCCATGGGGAGTTCACCGTAAATTTACCACGGTCAAATTTGAAAAGCTAGCCATTCCCATTCACACCATATACAATAATATTATATTATAATGACCTAGCTAGGGTTAGCCATTTTCCCAACCCTTAATTAAAAGATGGTCAAAAGTCATACTCTCTCTCGCTCAAATTTCCTTTTTACATCTTCTCTGATAGGGCATGATGGTGATTAGATTACCGAGAGTATTTATTTTATTTTTACAGTGGCAACAGGCTTTGATTTATAATTGTTAACTAAGATATTGATAAACAAATAGTTAAGGCCATGTGTTTTACCGTCTTTGATTCCTTCCTTCCTTGACGGTCAAACTTACAGGGAGCTATTTTTTGAAGCCTTCGAGATGAATCTCTTTCTCTCTCTCTCTCTCTCTCTCTCTCTCTCTCTCTCTCATTTCTGCACCCACCTCCACCCTTTTTTTTATTTTCTCTCTCCTTCTCTCTCTCTCTCTCTCTCTCTGTACCCAATATTACCCCATTAAGAGATATATCACAAATTTTCAAATAACATATAGGTACGCACATATATGTATGTTTCTATAATACTATATATTATATAAGCAGACGTCTAATTTCTACTAACGTTATGCAAACATATCAAATAATATATCCTATGTATCTAACAATATATACAAACAGCAGGTAAGGTAGCTAGGTTAGCAGTGCACTAATTCTGAATATATACGCAGTGCAACTTGCAAGTTTTACAGATTGAAAAAGACAATAAGTATATACCTGTAAGTAAATAAGTATGATATACACGTTTCTTTGTTTGTACGATTGGAGATATATACGTACAGATGGGAACAAATTCAGAAATTATAAAGAGCTAAGGCATAGAGGCAGTTGACAAAAAGTGCTTAAACTGAAAGAGGCGTGTTACGTATATATATATGAGACAATTGGATTTGAAAGCTTATATATATATATATATATATATATAGGAAGGAAGGAGCTCCATCTTCTTGCAAATTGCAATTGATATGTCCCTTTCGAAATGACCAAGTTATTTAGAGAGAATGAAGTTAAGATTAAACTCATCAAAGACCCGGAAGACAAGGGTTAATGTCCTCACATAGGGGTGCAGGCTGCAAACCTCTCTCCCCATACAAAAAAAAATAATATATATCTCTGCTAGCTGCATGCCTCTCTCCCCATACAAAAATAATATATATATATATGATGATATAATATTATAACTTGTCTTTCTTTCACTGTATCTGTATGTATGAATATATACAATACAATGCTTATATACTGATTAATTAATTAGACTACTTTAGGATTCCCGAACTTTTTTTGTGTTTCTTTCACTGTCAGTCGTATTCAGAGAGAGAGAGAGACCCCCGTTTGTAGCGGGGGAGCAGAGCGGATTGATGATTAGGACGAGAGGATAGGGATAATAGTTAAATAATGTGATATGGATGGATGGAATGTGAAAAAGTTATGGGTTTTGTTTGTTTGGGGTAGCCAGCCAGAAGAGTCAGAGAGACAGAGAGAGAAAGCTGGGCAGTGCAAATTGCATTGCAGTTAAAGAAAGGAGAGCTATAAATTAAAAGAAGAGAAGAATTGGTGTTGCTGGGGTGGGGATGCTGGAAGGGAGAGAGTCATGCAAAGGGTATAACTCTCTGTTGTTATTGATGGATAATGACACGTAAAATAACTTCTTCACGTATTATTATTGTATTATTGATTGAAAATGGTAAAATAGTTCTATCCTTAGAATAAAGTTTTCCTGGTGCGGAAGGAGGGGGTCGAATAGTGATGATGATGAGTCTGTCTGTCTGAAAACATATGTATCTGACATGAAATGACTAATGTCCAAATGGGCATGAATAAATGGGCGTGGACAGGAGAGGGGGCTGCGTGTGGGTTTTTTGTCACACTTTGTCAGATATATATAATTAATCAAATTTATTTAATATCATATTCTTCTACTGCACAGGTGTTTCACAGCAAGCAAATTGAAGAGAGAGAGAGAGAGAGATGGATACTGATCATGCATTCAAATGGAAGGAAAGTGGAGAGATATTTCTCTCTCTAACCTCTCTCTCTCTCTCTCTCTCTCTCTCTCTCTCTCTTTCTGGTTAATTCATACTAGTAATGACTTACATATATGATATACAATAATAATAATAATAAATTCT